TACCTCCAGCTGATGCTTTGATTGATTTCTGGCATGTAGTGAGTGCTCGGTAAACGTTCCAGTTATTATAAAACGGATGTTTATTGTGTAGAGCTCAGGTTTTCACTTAAAAATCACAGAAATGAATGGAACACTTTCAGACGTGGGTTTCAGTATCACGTCACATAGATGAGAACTTGTGAGCCCAGGGATTTTTGTACTGACTTGCTTAAAGTCACGCAGTTTAGAAACCACAGAAGGGCAACCAATCCCAGCTTACCTGACTGATGACCTAGGACTTGTGCCGCGCCTACCACAGCTGTTTGGCTCTGGGTAGTACTCAGGCCTCCAGCCTCCATCCCTTCCCTCCACATAGGTGCTGGCATCCGAGGCTGGCAGGGCCACCTGTCAGCAGGGACCGCTCTGTGCTCCCTGAGCTCCAGGCCCTCAGCTGCCAGTCGCCCGAGCACACTCATGTAATCTTAATGAACAATGTGCAAAGCCATTAAAAACTCAATTAGGACTTTCTTTTTACGGCCGACGTGAGGAAATGCAATCCTGAGGTGCTCATGTGTAAACACAAGAGTCGCCATCTGCCACACAGAAGCAGTTTGCCTCCAACGAGGGGATCTCTGTTGCAGACCCATCGGTAATGGGGAGTGCTTATTGAGGCATTTTCATGCATGGAGCAGGGAACGGGGGTAAGGGGGAAAGGCAAAATTTATGGCCAGCCAGAGAGCACTTTCTTGTTTAATTCCACAATTTTCAGTGTTACGTATAATAACTATGAGGAAACGAATGCTGTTTTATGTTCCTTATCACGTTAGTGGATTTGCTTTTATCTTCTTTAAGGGTTGAAGGGGAAAAGAATGCATTTACAGTCTCCCTCTTTCTTGGGTTTTGACTGATCTTGGAGTAATGACTGGCTCATTTTTGATCTACAGGGAACTGGCAGCTCCGCAGATGGTATTAATTTTGCCAACCTGTTGATCAAAGGGGGTCCCACTGAGTCACACAGAACCAGGACTTTCACTCCTGAACAATCCCAGACATAGCGGGCCTGGACAGTGCTCCAAGATAGGGCTTTCTGCTTTGTTGGAAGACCCTGAGTAGGTGAGGGAGGGTGTCGGGGGGGCTATAAAGGGCCTATCACACTTAGGCACTATCCCTGCATTGCTGGACACCACCTGTCCTGCCCTTCTCTCCATTTCAAATGCCCTTTCAAGTTGCCATGCAGGGTTGCTATATTAATGATATCCCTATCAGAGCATCTGAAAGATTTGCTTACTAGTGTTCCTCCTTTTACATCATATCCCCTTGAATACAGGGCTTTGTAGGAATTACAAACCCTACTAAGGTGCAAAATAATAATAATAATAATGCTAGCTGAGCACATGGAAAACTTCAAAATTTGAATAGCCCCATAACCTCAGTATAGTTTATTCCTTCTAAAAGCTCAAAAGGTGCATTGCTAATAAGTGGATGATGGCCCACAGTATAGTCATAGCCATTCCTCTCTGCTGGCTCTGTCTGTTCCCTTAGGCTTTTGAAATCCTGGCTATTCAGTTGTACATGGGAAAGAGAATAGATCTGCAGTTTAATGTGTGTACAGATTGCCTAGGAATCTTGATAAAACATAGCCTCAGACTTGACAGCCTTGAGTGGGACTGAGATTCTCATTTCTTGTGGAAGTTTAGGTGGTACTCTGGCTGCTGGCCCAAGGAGATCCTTTGGAGGAGGAGGATGAGGAGGCTGTTATGTATAGGGTGATCTGGCAGTGCTACACAGAGCAGTGCCCTTGCCCTGTTGACTCAATGTGGCAGGGCGAAGGCATGGACGTGCATGAGGAGCCTCATGAGAGACAGCAGGAAGAGAACCAGGCCCACTTTGCTCCTTAGGTTGCCTCTCCTCCTGTGAGTGGTTCTATTCCTTGGTGGCAGGGTAGTCACCTTCTCTTTGTGGGCCTGGGGATCCTCACTCATCTGCAGGTCTGGGATGGAGGCTAGCAGGCCTGGATGTGGTCTTCTCTCTGAGCCTCAATGCTTCTTCAGTGGTTTCTTCCTTGCTATGTATTCAGGTAGCATTTGTGACAAGGAAACGTCTCCATACTTACCCCATCACCACCAGCCCATAGGACACTGCCTTCTTAGAAAAACTTGCTCCACCTATGATAGGTGAATTTTCTGGTTGATAGGTGATGATCATCCAGTGTCCTTTAGTGAAGGCTTAACTGTCCTTATCACCTTGTGTATACACACACACTCTCTCTCTTTTTTTCTCTCTCTCTCTCTGTGCTTGGATGGGGGACTTGAACTCAGGGCTTGTCTCTCTCTTTGCTTTTCCACTCAAGGCTAGTACTCTGTCACTTGAGTCACAGCTCCAATTCTGGCTCTTTGATGGTTAATTGGAAATAACTGGAAATTTGTGTGCCTAGGCTGACTTCCAACTGGGATTCTCAGATCTCAGCCTCCTGAGCAGCTAGGATTTCAGGTGTGAGCCACCAGCACCTGATGTCATCTTGCTTGCCATTAGCTCCTTTCTGATATAAGCCAACCTACCTGCCCTGAGTAGCCATCCAGGTAGAAGAGTTCAGGCGCTGGTCATCTGGACAGGATCATGAGTGGGATCTAGCTATTCAGGTGCCCTGTGTGCTAGCTTAGAGGGGAGGTGTAGGAAGCCTAATCTGTCCTCAAGTCTGTAATGCTTTCTTTAATCTAGTTTTGTGAGCAAGAATAGAGATTTGAGATAAAATCTCTCCCCTATACATAGTTGTAGATTCCTTTGGAACATGGACATAAGGTATAAATGCTTGATACCCTCTAGAGGCCCAACAAGGTTGGGATTGGCCAGCACTAATTAGCTGGCAGTTATTAGTCCCTCTGGTATTAGGTGAAGAGTAAGGTGCTTTACAAATACTTAAGTGGCCCATCATGGCTGGGAATAAGAAGTCTTAAGGTTTCATTCAGAATGAAGATTTTCATGGCTACAAAGACTTCAAAGCAGTGGTAGTTTTCTAGGTGGAAATATTTCTCCCAGAATTGCTTGAGTTTCCTTTGCTGAGTTTTATGATGCAGTTTATTTGTTTATCTATTTAGCAGAATTGTAAGACTTTAAGTCCCAGAACTCAGCTCACCTAGTTGACAGTGATGTTCAGTTAGAAGTCTTCTCACTGTGTCCAGGTTGGGTTTAGTCACCTGGGAAGATGAAAATTCACTTTGTCTCTGGGGAGTCCATCCTATATTTTTTTTGGTTGTAGGGCTTGAACTCTGGGCCTTGGCACTGTCCCTCAGCTCTTCGGCTCAGGGGAAGCACTCTACCACTTGAGCCACAGTGCCACTTCTGGTTTTCTAGAGGTTAATTGGAGATAAGAGTTTTAGACTTTCCTTCCCAGACTGGTTTAGAACAGCAATCTTTGAATCTCAGCCTCCTGCTTAGCTATGATTATAGCTGTGAGCTACAAGTGCTCAGCTCCATCCCATTTTTGAGCAGCTTCATGTGTTAGAAAGCCCTCTGCATGTTGAACTGGCAGGTGCTTCCTAACTCAAGTCCTTACCTGAGTCTGACTCAGCTTTGTGTGTGAGTGTGCATGCCAATACTGGGGCTTGACCTTAGGGCCTACGGCACTGTCCCTTAGCTTTTTCACCAAGGCTGGCACTCTGGGGCCACAGCTGTAGATCTGTTTTTTTTTTTTTTTTACTGGTTGATAGGAGGTAAAAGTCTCATGGAGTTTCATGCCTCGCCTGGCATGGAACTGGGATTTTCAGATCTCAGTTTCCTGGGCAGCTAGGATTACAGGCATGTGCTAGCTTCCAGCTCCCAGCTCCCAGCTTCAGTTAACAGTTTACCACAGCCAGGCCATATAACAATCCTAGAGGAAGCCAGTGACAAACAACAATATGTATTTATTCTCTATATGCTGAGTGCCATTGTCTGGTATGGATAGAACTACATGGCCATGCTGTGACCTGTGCCTTACTCCTCACTGTGGGTTGAACTCATCTCCTTTCAAGTATGTTTATCTTTATGCCAAGCCCAGTGGGACACAGCTACCTGAGGTACATTCTTCTCATGAAAGGAAGGTAATGCAGGAGGGCTAATCTTGCTAGCCAAGCACATTTGAAGTCTCTGTTAGAGTCAGTCTGTTAACATCCTGTTGATGAAAATGAGTCACATGGTGGAGGCCAAAGTCCAAGGGTAGAAACACCTTCACTACTTCTACATAGAGGAGCCACGAAGCCGATAGCAATGAATTTGGAACCTGGGAGGGATGAAGAAGCTTGCTTTGTTGCCTGGACTGGCCTCAAACCACTGCCTCCTAAGTAGCCATTAATCTCTCTGTAAAATGAATGCCCTCTAGCTCTGTCTGAAGCTTAAATGGAATAAAATCTAAGCAAGACAGGTGCTATGAACATGACTGTAACTCCTTTACAAGCACTGCTCACTTCCCATTCCTTTGGAACATCTTCCGGTTGCTTCCCACAATCCCCAAGGCTTGCTGTTGACTTGGAGATACTCTATTTCTATATGTTTTTCTTTAGGTGTATTCTTGGTGTGATGACAAGACTGCATAGAATATGTTGGAAAAAGGCCCCCTTCTGCACTGTGGAAGTTCTTTCTACCTACATTAGAACGGCTCAGTTTGTGCGAGGTTATTGATCCTCTCACTCTACCTGCAGAGGATGCCATTAATGAACTTCATGAGTTTTAATGCCATGCTCTTTATAAGAGCTTCTGGATGTAATGTGTCTTCTCTATATATGCACAGACTGTCTACCTGATAAAATAGTTCCTGCACATTACCCTCACTTAATTATTAAAATTTTATGGTAAGCAGGGACCTGCAGCTCTTAATTGCCAGAGCTCTGGTCCCTAAGGCACAGAGAGGTGACACAGATCCCCCAACTCCTTTCTCCTAGGGTTCCTGGGCCTCTAGCTACCTCACTGACCATTGAGTTCATGTTGTGATTGATTTTCATTTTTTTCTCTCTCTATCTCCACTTCCCACCTCCTTGGGTCTTCAGGGTCCTTCATGATGGTGAACAGCTCTGGAAGGGCCTCTGGCCAGAAAGCCCACCTTCTCCTGCCCACCCTGAAAGAAAACGACACCCACTGCATCGATTTCCATTACTATTTCTCCAGCCGTGACCGCTCCAGCCCAGGGGCCTTGAATGTCTACGTGAAAGTGAACGGTGGGCCCCAGGGAAACCCAGTGTGGAACGTATCCGGGGTCGTCACTGAGGGCTGGGTGAAGGCGGAACTGGCCATCAGCACCTTCTGGCCACATTTCTATCAGGTATAGCATTTTACCATGGCTTGATTTTTTTTTAAAATAAGTAACCATATCCTAGGTGGCTCTCAGTGAATAGAAGTGGAGAGAACTACACTTATGCCTCAATCATTCAACTCCTATTTGCTAGACTTTTCCATGGAGGCAGAGGTGATTCAACAGAGCACTGTCTGGTGATGAGGGTCTAGAGGAGAAGGCTGTGTGAATAAGCAGTTACAGCATAGCAGGAGGCATGAGGGTTTCCAGGGTAGTTGTGGTTCCCTGGGGTGGGAAGGATGTTGAAGGAAGATAGACACAGAAGCGTTCTATAACCTAAATGCTTATGCCACTAATGAGGGAGCCATGAGAACCATTCCTATTTTCACAGATTAAGAGACCAAGGCTCTGTGAGATGAGCCAATACTAGCCAGGAATTTGCTGTTTGGTGGGGAACGCAATGAGAATGGCTTCTAAGAGGAGAAGACAGCTAGGCTGAGTGTTGACTGGAGAATAAAATGAATAGGAAAAGGCATTGGAGGAAGGCATTGGAGCTGCAAGGGACAGACAGTGTATATGACAGGGAGAGAGGCAAGTGAGGGAGTATAGCCAGATTGGAGTGGAGAAGGTGGTGTGCAGAGAGATGAGTCTCAGGGTAGAGAGTGGATCATGAGTGGTCTGAGTGTCAGGCTAACAAGACAGAACTCATCGTCTAGAACAGTGAAATGCGAACCACCAGTGGCAAAGGGACTTTCTTCTCAACTCATCCAACTCATTCCATACCAATACATGTACAAACTACAATAAAAAGTATGTTAATATAGTGCCACATGTCTGGGTCCATTTTAAAGCATCAATTTTACTTTCTTAGTTATCACATTATGGACTGATAGGATACCTCGAAGCATGCAGTGGAGTGAACAGGCTGCAGTGAATGAGATTCCTTCCTTCCTTCCTTCCTTCTTGCCTGCCTGCCTGCCTGCTTGTCTCTCTCCTTCTCTCCCTTTCTCCCTCCCTCCCTTCCTCCTTCCTTCCCTCTCTTTTTCTCCTCCTGTCCCCTCCCCTCCCCTCCCCTCCCCTCCCCTCCTCTCCTCTCTGCCAGTCTTAGGGCTTGAACTCAGAACCTGTGTGTTCTCTTTGTGGTTTTATGCTCACCCCTAATGCTCTACCACTTGAGTCACAGCTCAGATCCTCAGATCTCAACTTTTCTAGCTAGGACAAAGGCCTGAGCTTCTGATGCCAGGCTGAGAGATTTTTCTTAAACAATATTTAGGTAAAAATACTTTTCGTATCTGAGAAGCCACCTATTTTAAGTGTGAAGTCCAGTGATTTTAATAAAGGTGCAGTGCTTGAGTAAAGGTGCTGACAACTTTTAGAACAGTTTTTAATCACCGTATTAAGGTTCTTTATACCCACTTGCAGTTAATCCCCATTCCTACTGTTGAAAGGTTTTAAAGGAGAGGGTGACATAAAATTTTATCTTGGGGAATGTTCTCGGGTCTTGAGCGGACATGGACTAAGGTTGGTGAGCAGGGGGCTGACGCTTCTTTGACGGTGCCCTCCAGTTCCACCTGCCTGGTACAGCCCACCAGATGTCAGTGTTAGGGGCCTTGCTGATTTTGCATGAAAACGGTCATCCTAGCTTTCCTTCTTTCCCCTTTGCCTTGGTAACTAGAATTGCATCCTTAACGATCTCCGATATGTAGCCTACACTTTTGCCATATTTTCTCCCATTTTATTCCCATTGGCTTGTGATATATTTTTAGAATAATTGAACTGCACTTTCCTGTCCATTTCCTGAAATGCAGGAGGAGGAGGAGGAGGAGGATGGTGATAATGGTGGTGATGAGGAGGGGATGGTGCTGACCATTTGTCCAGAGTTTATCATGTTCCAGGCATAGTACAAACTGTTCTATCAGGAATGCAGCCATGGGTCGGGCTCAGCCTGGCCTCGTGGCAGTCAGGGTGCCCTGTGCTCGCTTTGTACCAAGTGACACGTCCAATTCCTCCTTTAGAGGAACAATGTATTATCAACAAACTGACTCCATTGATTTTTAAGTGTGTCACTTACACTGGGAGATGTCTTATCCTAGCTCTTTGGAGAGAAATACCTTTGTCCTCCTGATTCCTGTGTCTTTTCCTTTGACGCAGCAGGTTTTAACTGTACAAAGCACCACAAATCTTAATCTGACACTCATCCTATCAGACATGCCAGAATTGAGAACATGTGCTTGCCTGGTGTGCTTTCTAACACCTCTAGCATGCTCTGCTGCTGCTGCAGCACTCCACAGTCAAGTGTGCTAATTCCCCAAGGCAAAACTTACGCAAATTAACAAGAAATGGATAAATGAAGACTGTAAATAGTGTCAAACCAGCCCAGCTCAGTTTTTTTTCTGGTGTGTTTTTTTTTAAACCAAATCCTTTATATAAGATCTATGTGCAATAATCTGTCTTAGAATGTTTTGGATTTCTGAATTGCATGAAGGGATGTGTGTGTGTGTGTGTGTGTGTGTGTGTGTGTGTGTGTGTGTACTGAGAGATAGAGAGTGTGTGTGCTTGTACCAACAATGGGCCTTTCTTGAACCCAGAGTCTAGGTGCTGTTACTTGGCTTTTCTTGCCCAAGGCTGGCACTCTACCACTTGAGCCACAACTCTACTTCCAGTTTTTCAGTCATTAATTGGAAAGAAGAATCTCACAGACTTTCTTGCCCAGGCTGGCTTTGAACCTTGATCCTCAGATTTCAGCCTTCTGGGTAGCTAGGATTATAAGTGTGAGGCACCCTTGCCTAGTGTTAGGCCCTATTTTCTACTTGCATGAGTGCACAGAGGTAGAGAAGCTCTTGCCTGTACATTCTGAGAAGAATTCCCCCACACTACTTCTTGCCTAAGACCCTCCATACTGAAGGCTGATATGGTCATGATCATGGCATTTGAGAAAAGCTGTGGAGTGTTTCCACTTAGAGGAGACATAGTTATCCAAGCGAGGCTTTCAAGGAGTCAGAAAGAATCCCTTGTTTTGATATTTAATTAAGGTGTCCTGTTGGGTTTTGATGGTGACCTCATTTCATCATGACACCCTGGTGCAGAGGTAGCATTCTAGTTAGGTGGACCTAATCTTGGTTTGCCTGAGCCAGCCTTTGGCTGATGGGTTCCATCTTGGTAAATTTGTTGGGAATATCCATTTCATCATGTGTTCCAGTTTGCATGATAAATTACCTAGTCTCCCTATCCATAGAGATTTTTAGAACATGTGCCAGCTTAGGTGGTCTGAGCTTGTCCTCATCTTGTAGATCAGGTAAACATTTTCTGTAGAAGATCACACAGACTGTATTTTTAGTTTCTTTGGCCTTTACAGTCTCAACTCTCAGTACTCAACTCTGCCTTTGTGCAACCATAGACCCTTATGCGAATGGATAGAAAGAGCTGTGTTCCAATAAAACTGTATGTATAACCATGGGTGGTGAATCAGATTTGGCTTTCAGGTTCTAGTTGGCTAAACCCTGATGTGGGTGATAAAGCTGAGGCCAAAAGTTGGATAATGAAGTTGAAGAGATACAGCAAATCACTGGCAAAGCTGGGGCCAGAACCTCTGTGCTCTGGTCACTTCACTGTCTCCACTGTATCACTGAGCATAATGCTGTAAGCTCATGGATACTCCTGCTAAGGCCTTAGGGTTTCAATTTAAAACAACAACAACAGGGTGTGCACACATGGGTCCAGGATGAAGTGAGAGGGTGAAGTACAATGAACAGGAATCCTGACCCACAGAAAGACCCGTCCCACAATTCACTATGCTCTGTGACAGGGTTTCAGGAAATAAAGGATATTGAGCTCCCTTAGTCCCAAGCCTGTGGCAGGCCTATCGCCTCTCATTTTCTGCACAGCAACCCCCTGTCTAGGCAGCCGCATGTCCTGTCTTCAGGAGGAGGAACATTACTGTAAATTGAAGCGTGATTGCACATTGCTGCCTGGGCCCTCTGGCTCCAAGCTCTATGCCCTGTGTTTAGGAAAACTAGCTTGTCTGTTCTGAGAATCCTCTGGTCTCTAGCTGGGTAATGTGGGCTGTTTCCTGCCATCAGCCAGAATCACGGCTCACTCATTTGTAAAATGGAAGGAGGAAAGGCACAATGAAGGGTCCTGTGGATTAAAATAGACAACATGCATAGCATCATGTCTGGCGTGCAGTGAGCCTCAGCAATTGCTGGAACGAAGAAAGGAAAGAAGGAAGGAAGGAAGAAGGGAGGGAGGGTGGGAGGGAGGGAGGAAGGAAGGGAAGGAAGGAAGGAAAAGAAGGGAGGAAGGGAGGGAGGAAGGAAGGAGAGGGGAGGGGAGGGAGGGAAAGAAGGAAGGATGGAAGGAGAAAAAGTAGTAAGGGGGAAGAAGTATTTTTTAAACCAGTCTGCCCTGTTGCTTGGCCTGTCCTGGCGCCTCTGGGTGGCCATCTATGAGTACCTCCTCTGGGAAGCTTTCCCCGATATCTGGCATGTTGATCACCACAGCATTATTTTATTCCATCTTCTCTGAGCTCTGTGGTGACCAAGCTCTCCTAGATTGGGAACAGCAGTTTGAAAAGGATGTGTGTTGTAATCTAGCATACAGTCACTGGTGTAGGTATGGGAGAGTATATACCTTTGTGTCAAGACCTCGCATATTCACAGGCTCAAATATACTCACATGTGCACACACAGGTATGGGGATGAGGAAAAGGAACATCTCAGGAGAATCAAAGATAGGAGCAAAATGTGTATTAAAAGCCCACCAACCTTTAGCCGGGTACTGGTGGCTCATGCCTATAATCCAAGCTACTCAAGAGGCTGAGATCAGAGGATCTTGGGTTGAAGCCAGCCTACATAGGCAAATTTGTGAGATTCTTACCGCAAATTAACCTGCAAAAATCCAGAAGGATGGCTCAAGTAGTAGAATGTCAGCCAAGAAAACAAAACAAAAAACAAGCGACAGAGCAAGGCCCTGAGTTCAAGCCCTGGTACCGGCTCATACATTAAAACAACTACAGCAAAAAAAAAAAAAAA